AAAAAAAAAAAAAAAAAAAAAAAAAAAAAAAAGTCAGCTTCTGCCTACTCATGAAAGTGAATGAGCAGAGGAGACAGCCCATATGGCTGGAATGCTGAGTGCATGAGCGCGTGGTTGAGTCAGTGGAGGGGGTGGGGGGAAGGAAGGGGGTGGACGCACTGGTGAATGGAGCATCCAGACTGAGGTGCCACCTCTACCCTTCCCTTCCCAGGGCCCTCCCGCCGCAGCGACCTCCAGAGCCTGGGCTACTGCATGCTGAAGTGGCTCTACGGGTTTCTGCCATGGACAAACTGCCTTCCTAACACTGAGGACATCATGAAGCAAAAACAGAAGTGAGTCGGGGGGTCAGCAGAACCCCTGCAGGTGGGCAGAAGCCCAGAGCCCAGCTGGGGGCAGGCGGGAAGGGGAAGTGGCATCTAGCAGAGCCCAAGTCCTCTGAGCTGCACACACATGTGCTGCACTGTCCAGGCAGCACGCGAGGCAGGGGTTCCAGAGCCATGCTGCCTGGGCTTGGACTCTGGCCCCACCACTGTGGGGTGTTAACATCTGCGAGCCTCAGTAGCCTTCTCCATGAGATGGTCTCCTACTAGCACGCACCTTACGGGACTGCAGAAGGGTTCAGAGAAGTCAGGTATACACAGCACTTAGCACAGGGCCTGGCTCGTAGAAAATGCTCATCATGTGTGGGGCACCGTGACTCGTTCATCACAAACACACAGGCAACCTGAGCAAGACAGGCCCAGGCCCTGCCTTAGCACTGGTAGCACCACCCATCCAGTGTTCACACCACCAGATCAGTGCCTTCACCTCTGTGTGTAAACCACCAGGTCTTACCATTGCTGGTTTAAACATTCAGCACCAAAGCCAGTGGACAGCGAAACATATGGGGAAGTTCTGGGATGAGATTGAACACTAAGGGCATTGAGCAGCTGGACACAGGGAGCGCTAGGGATATGAATTCAGCACTAGGGACAGCAGGCAGCTGGGCGCAAAAGGGCGGTACTGAGGTGTGTGTTCAGCACCAAGGACAGCAGGCAGCGGTACCCAAAAGGGAAGTGCTAGGGATGTGGGTTCAGCACCAGGGATAGTGGGCCGCTGGGCACAAAATGGAAGCGCGGGGGTGTGGGTTCAGCACCAAGGACAGTAGGCAGCTGGTCCTAGTGGGCATGCTAGGCGTGCACTTCAGACATGAATAAGAGTTACTTAGGCCAGGCACGGTGGTTCACGTCTTAATTACAGCACTTTGGGAGGCCAAGGTGGGTGGATCGCGAGGTCAGGAGTTCGAGACCAGCCTGGCCAACATGGTGAAACCCTGTCTCTACTGAAAATACAAAAATTAGCCTGACGCAGTGGCAGACACCTGTAATCCCAGCTGCTTGGGAGGCTGAGGCAGGAGAATTGCTTGAACCTGGGAGTTGGAGGTTGCAGTGAACTGAGATCACGCCACTGCATTCCATCCTGGGTGACAGGGCAAAACTCCATCTCGGACTTGTTGCCCGAGTCATCTGGGAGGCAGCTGACCATCTGAAGTGCAGGAGTGAAGTCTAGAGGGCGACTCAGATCCCAGGAATATCTCAGGAGCTGTCAACTGAAGCCCCAGGAGAGGATGAGATTATCTGGGAAAGCATATAGAGTGGGAAGAGGGTGTACCCTCCAGTGAATGGCATTGAGTCCGTCATACTTCCCTGTCCTTAGTGTGCGGTGAATTCCTTCCCAGTCCTTCCCTCACGTAAAGCCTTTCTTGTTTTATTTTACTCCCTTCGTATCTCCCAACTTTCTCTCAACCATGGACAGCTGCTCAAGCACACTTAACATGTGTTCTGCTGACGTGTTCACTTAGATGTATTTATACCCTGAAAATCGCGTCCTGGCCGTGGTCCTGTGTGTGATTTGCATAAGTGATGTTCTGCTCTTCATCTCATCTGTCTCTGGCTCTCTTCAAATTTAACCCTACCCCTACATGTGGATCGAATTCACTGCTCCTGACTGCTGCTTCTAAATCAATTTTCTGTAGACATGTCTGTGTCCTTAAACTATATATGGTGGTACTGTGTGTTTAATTTGTATAAATAGTACTATGCTCTAAACCTCATGCTGTTTCTTGCCTTCTTTCACTCAATGTTATGTTTTTAACTTTAGCTATACAACTAGTTCACTACTTCCGAATGCTCCTAAATGTGTTAGTTTAGATGCATCTGTGTCCTTAAAAACTCTGTGACGTTCTTGGGTGCGTGTTTAATTGGCGTATGTGGCACCATGCCCAGAATTTCATCCTCCTTCAGACGAGGGGATGTGTCTCGTCATTTTGACTTCCTCCTACTAACTGTTCAAAGCTAACATTTATTATACACTTGTCTGTGCCAGGCGCTGCCCCTGGTGTTTCCCCTGCATCCTCACAACTGCTCCGAGCTATGTGCTCTCATGATCTGTGGCACAGAGAGCTTAGGTAATCAGCCCAGGCCACACAGCTACTCAGCAGGGGCTCCTGGACTCAAACCCAGGCCATTCAACTCCACAGACAGCCCCTGTCACCTACACGCTGCTTTCCAAGTCGAGGAGGCTTATGAGGTGAACTGGTGGTGCCTGGACCCACTCAACAAATACTGAACCCCTGCCATGTGCTAGGCTCTGTTCTAGGCCCGGCGGATACAGGAGCGAATAAGACAAAAATCCCTGCCCTCAGGGAGCTCACATCCTGTTGGGGGAGACGGGAGCTAAAGGGCGAAACACACGGTGTGTCAGAGGTCAGACTGATGGGGATCCTGGGGCCAGGTCCTGGGTGTCCACTGGTGGGACTCTTGTTGGGGGTGTGCAGCACACTTTTAGGTCTGATGTCGGGGGCAGGTCTCACAGCCATGGCAACAGGTAAATTGCCCCCTGAAGGACCATGAAGCTTTAAACCGTGGCAAGAAGGATATCACACACAGTTTGGTGCTAATTTGCCCCAACATCCCTGCAGAAAGAGGGAGGGACAGAGAGGCCTTCAGCCCCCAGACTTCCCGCAGGCAACCTCCGCATGGGAAGCCAGCCTCAGAACCCGCTAGACAAGTCCATTGTCCCATTTTCTTGGAGCTTATTTTCACACTTACTCCCTAGCTTTAATGCATGGTGCTGGGGTTTTCTGCTCACACTAGTGAGACAAAGGTGTCTTTTGAAATGAAGCCAGGTGAAAACGATGAGTCACAGAATGAGCAGCCCGCTGGAGTCCCCGTGTGAGTGAAGGCAGTGAAATGCTCCCTCACACATTCTGATGGGTTAGCTGAGGACAAGGCTGAGCTGCTCTCACGAGGAGACCCCAAAACACTGCAGCTTCCATGAGGGAGGGTTCACATCTCTAACTAACAGTCCCAAGACAGGAGACTGAGGGCAGTAGCGGCGCCTCAATTCCCTGTGACACACACACGTCCTCCTCTGGATGCAACAGAGAGCACACATTGTGGGTGCCCAAGAAATAGGGGCGGATCTGGCACAGTGGCTCATGCCTTTTATCCCAGCACTTTGGAAGCTTAGGCGGGCAGATTGCTTGAGCCCAGGAGTTTGAGACCAGCCTGGACAACATGATAAGACCCCATCTCTACAAAAACTGTAGCCAGGTGTGGTAGCGTATGCCTGTAGTCCCAGCTACTCAGGATGCTGAGGTGGAAGGATCACTTGAGTCCAAGGAGGTGGAGGCTGCAGTGAGCTGTGATTGTGTCGCTGCACTCCAACCTGGGCAACAGAGTGAGACCCTGTCTCAAAATAAAAGAAAAATCATAGTGGAATGAAGAACAACTAAGGAGTGAATGCTGAGCCCGCCCGGGCTTCATTGTGGACACAGAGGTCAGGCAGACGCAGGCCCAGTGTCGGGGGTTCCAGGGCTGCGGGGAGACACGGACAGGAAGCAGGAGCTGCAGGTGAGGGTGGAGGTAGCCCGGCACTGTGGGAGCAGAGGGGAGGCACAGGACCCCGCCGCCGGCTCCTGGAAACCCTCACCTGGGAGATGCCTGACCTGGTCTGTAGAGAACACGAGAGCCTTCCAGGTGGGCAAGGGGGAGGCAGGATTCCTAGGCAGACAGGACAGCACAGCTCTACACCCTCTCCACTCATGCATTCAGTGCCAGGTTCCTGAGGCCAGTGGCTGTGCTGGACACCCAGGTTAGAATCAGCGCACGGTGCCTCTGCACTCCGATCTTGTCAGGAAAACCGGTCCCCGAGGCTCCCCTGGGTGGAGTCTTCTCCCCACTCCCCTTCCTAACTCCTAAGAGCAGTCACGTCACCCTTTTCACATCCCCTCACCTAAAGAGACTTGAACGTGACCGGTTCACAGAGAGGGCCTGCACTCGTCAACATGGTGCAGGGTGAGTAAGACAGGTCACGGTAATCATCTCGTATCAATGATAGCAGCATGGATAACAGTAATTCCGCAGCCCCAGCTCCAGACCACAACCATAGAGGGCCAAGTGCACGAAAATGCTCCCTGGAGAGTAGCTGGTGATGTTGACACTGTCCCCCAGACACCCCTCCTCACCCCCAGCCCAGCGTCTCTTAGCCCAGACCGTAGCCAAGGGGACCGCAAGGGGGCGATGTTGCTACATGCTCGTTTCCTGGCACCCTAAGGTGCCCTGCGCTAGGACGTTTCACTGGTATACGTGGCCTTTTTCCATTCATTCAACAGATACTCACGTTTTGCACATTATAGTTCACGACAGGCAGAATGAGTAAAAGAAGGAGGAGAGGCAGTTTGAGTCCCTGAGGCTTTCTGGCATTCAAGGCCCATTGCTGGGCAAAGCACAAATGAGAGCCAGCTTTGGACCCGCTCTCAGGGCTCCCCACCCAGCTGGTCAGGGAGAGCCCGCGGCAGGGGGTGGCAGTGGCGTTGCTGTGCAGCGTGTAACGTCCTGTCGATGGCACAACCGGGCCTTCCTGCGCTTGTATGTCGATGGCTGCCGTGGGACATCCACGGACGTACACACAGGCCCAGGAGGGACGGAGTTCCTCTGCCTGGGGGGGTCTGGGGAAGACTTCCTAGGAGGCCAGACCCTCGAGCTGTATCTCGAAGGGAGAACAGCCACCTGCCAGAGCTCAGGGTGGGGAAGGCTGCCCAGGCAGCGAGAGTGATGTGTGCAGAGGCAGATGTGTGTGGATGTGTGGCCTGGTGGGACGAGGAGTCCTTTGGTGTGGATGGGACATGCGATGGGAGAAGGGAGTGGAGAGACGGAGCTAGAGGGTGGCCAGTGTGTGCTGGGGAGCCACGGGAGGCAGGGTGGGCTGTGAGCAGGGAGGGTCAGGGACAGGTGTAAAGAGACCCTCTGGGGCCACGTGGAGATGCACAGGAGGCCAGGGAGGAGTTGAGGTCCAGGGAAAAGGGATGAAGCCTGAGATGGGCCCAGATCCATGGGGCAGAGGGATTTGAGGAGCAGGAGGGTGGGGCTGGGGGATAAAGCAAAGGCAGTGGGTAAATCAGGATTTTTCCTGAACAGCCAAAGAGGGGTGCACGTGCATGCCCGTGTGTGTGTGTTATACATATATGTGTGTGTGTGCGTATGTACATATACAGTTAGTCCTGATTATTCAGAGTCCATATGTGTGAATTCTCTTGCTCACTAAAAGTATTTGTAACCCCAAATCAATTCTTGCAGTTCTTTCATGGCCACTTGCAGACACATAGTGTGGAGAAAAATTGTAATCACCTGACACACATGTTCCCAGCCTAGGGCGGAGCCAGACAGCATTCTGCCTCCCTGTTTCAGTGCCTGCGCTATATACGCCAGCATGTTCGGCCTAGGCGGAGCCAGACAGCATTCTGCCTCCTGTTTCAGTGCCTGCGCTATACGCCAGCATGTTCCGGCCTAGGCGGAGCCAGACAGCATTCTGCCTCCCTGTTTCAGTGCCTGCACTCTAGGGCGGAGCCAGACAGCATTCTGCCTCCCTGTTTCAGTGCCTGCACTATATACGCCAGTGTCCTTTTCACTGTTCAGTTAATGCTACATTTTTTCCTGTTTTTATGCTTCTTGTCAGTGATTATGCCATTTAAAATGGCCTCAGCCAGGCGTGGGGGTTCACACCTGTAATCCCAGCACTTTGGGAGGCCAAGACAGGAGGATCAGAGCAGCCTGGGCAACATAGTGAGAACCCATCTCTACAAAAAATCAAACAGCCACCTAGCATAATGCTGAAGTGTTGTCTGATGTCCCGAAGCCTGAGATGGTTAATAATTCGTGTGTTGTATCAGCTTTGTTCAGGCATGAGCTACGGTGCTGTTGGCCGAGAGTTTGTGGGGAATTCTTATCATTTCAGGTTGCCTTGGCATTCATTTGAATGTAAGTTGGACTTTCTCATGCCAGAAGCAGGGCTCGGTCACCCTCAGCACAGTTTCCAGTTTTCCACCTCCTCCCAGTTCCTCCGTGTGGTTGACCCAGATATTTCCCTTATCCAGCCGCCTCCGGGAGAACACCTCCCTCCCTATGGGTCAGCCACAGACAGCCTACTTGACGGCCCCGCTGACCACATCCCACTGAACTGTGCAGATGCCACAGTGACCCCCTCTCAGACACAGCGTGACCTCCAGGAACTCGAGCCTGCTTGCTTTGAACCCACCAGTTAAAATCCCCTCAAAATGTTTGGATACCAACCGTTGGCCCCTCATGCAACCACAAGCTCCCTTACCTGTGTGTGTGTGTGTGTGTGTGTGTGTGTGTCTGTGTGTGTGCGTGGGATGGAGGGGAGGTCACCTTTGGGTGTGTCATGTGCCCCCAGGACCTGTAAGCAATAAAATCTTTATTTTCATCTTGGATCTTTCCTCATCGTCGAAGGAATCCTCTCCATCTTAAAGATCCCAGGTTAAAACAGAGTTCAGTGCTAATGAATCAACAATGCTTATTACATAAGATGTCTTTCAACAGAAACATACATAAAACAAGGTGTATTGATTGCGGAAAATGATATGGCCGGAGGCTTGCAGGAGGCCACTGCTGTTTCCCCTGGGAGCAATGGTAGTGGGTTGGTTGATTCAGTGTTCACAGTGGCTTTAAGAACTTAACTTCCCTGGATGGCAGAGGGGACTGTGTATATATCTTAGGCTGTGTATGTATCTTAGGCATTCTGTTTTAAAAGGTTGCTCTCCTTTCCCTTTAACATGTGCTTCTGTCCCTTCAGGTTTACTGATAAGACCTTTCACATGTGCTTCTGTCCCTTCAGGTTTACTGATAAGCCGGGGCCCTTCGTGGGACCCTGCGGTCATTGGATCAGGCCCTCAGGTACGTCCTGAAGGGAGCAGGAACAGGCAGGGACCTGGGCGGGACCTGGTGGCTCAGATCCATCTTGGGGTGGCCTCTCCTTACACCTCTTCATTTTTTTTAGTTTTCCAAATTGCATTTGTAATATGTACCCATTGTAGAAAGACAAAAATCGTCAAAACATTCACAAGTGCCTCCGAACAACAACAAAACAAAAACACACAAGTGTTTTTTGAGGACAGGGTAATTTTTTCTTTTTTTTAAGACAGGGTCTAGCTCTGTCGCCCAGGCTGGAGTGCGGTGGTGCGATCTCGGCTCACTGCAATCTCCGCCTCCCAGGTTCAAGCAATTCTCGTGCCTCAGCCTCCCAAGTAGCTGGGATTACAGGCGTGCGTCCCCATACCTGGCTAGTTTTTTGTATTTTTAGTAGAGACGGGGTTTCACCATGTTGCCCAGGCTGGTCTCGAACCCCTAGCCTCAACTGATCTACCACCTCGGCCTCCCAAAGTGCTGGGATTACAGGCATGAGCCACCGTGCCCAGACATTTTTATGAACAAAAAATGGGCTCACCCTACATAGATCTCATTCTACCTCTTGCTTTTTTCCCTTAACCCTAGGGCCGTCCTTCATGCCCTTCCTTTATAGATGCACCACAGCTTTTATTGACAGCTGCACAGGGGTCATGGTTTGGCCGCACCATAGCTTATAAAGCCAGTCCCTGTCACTCGTCCCTGTCACTGGGTATTTGCACTGTCTCGTTTGGGCACGGGGGTGTTTGTTGCTGCTGTTGTCTTTGTGCCCCTCCTGAAGAGCTTTGATGCTTTTCTCCAAGCTGGAGGCAGAAATGGACAGACAGAAACGATAGCGTGTCCCCTCTGGCTCTCTGAGGCTCATTTTTGAATTACTTTAAATCCCTGGGTTCAGATCATGGCTCAGCTGCCAAGCACTCCCCTCCAGTTCTCCCTCTGTAAACCTTGGGCCTCAAGGATGTTTAAGCTGGTCCACCAGAGGTTGGAGGTGGAGCTGAGGCAGGGCCCGCCTCTTTAAAGACACATGCACAATATTTATGTGCAGGGAGACTGCACTGCTAGCTGGGATCTGCATGGAAACACTGCGGGCCAGGGGAGGGGTCTTGATGGAACGCGATTGACTGTGAGGTGATCATTGTGGAAACTGAGTGATGGATACTTGGGTGTTCATGCCCTTCTCCTGGTGCCTGTGTATGACGTTTTCCAAAACTGAAAAAAAAATGGAAGTCCCCTGGCAACGCCAGGCACCAAGCAAATGGGCACTTTTGCTGAGACCCTCGTGCCCGTCAGTCCCCTACCCCCCACCCTTGGGCACAGACCCCCAGGATCGAGGTTGGGGGACGCCTCTCAGGCTCTCCCTTGCTGGGGGTTGTCTTGACCACAGAGACCCTGCAGAATTACCTGAAGGTGGTGATGGCCCTCAGGTACGAGGAGAAGCCGCCCTACGCCGTGCTGAGGAACAACCTAGAAGCTCTGCTGCAGGATCTGCGTGTGTCCCCGTATGACCCCATTGGCCTCCCGATGGTGCCCTAGGTGGAATCCAGGTGGGAAGAGCTTGTGCGTCTTCAGCCCTCTCACCCCTTGCGCTCGGCCCAGCCCTGCCCCAGGCTCCAGGGGACACTTCCCAGAGGCTGTCCCACGTTCATATCAGGGCCCAGCTTCCCAGGGAGATGCTGGGGTTTTCCACAGGGTCCTTGAACTTCCCAACCTCCAGGAATGGCAAGTAGCAGAAACCTGGCTCAACTTTGCTTTAAGAAAAGGGGGTTGAGGCTGGGCACAGTGGCTCACGCCTGTAATCCCAGCACTTTGGGAGGCCGAGGCGGACGGATCACGAGGTCAAGGGATCGAGACCATCCTGGCTAACACGGTGAAACCCCGACTCTACTAAAATACAAGAGAAATTAGTCGGGCGTGGTGGCGGGCGCCTGTAGTCCCAGCTCCTCGGGAGGCTGAGGCGGGAGAATGGTGTGAACCCGGGAGGCGGAGCTTGCAGTGAGCCAAGATGGCACCACTGCACTCCAGCCTGGGTGACAGAGTGAGACTCCATCTCAAAAAAAAGAAAAGAAAAGAAAAGTGGGGTTGATTGGCTGTTGTAGCTAGAAAAGTCTAAGGGGGAGCTTCAGGCACAACAGGATTCAGAGCCTCAAAAATAGCATCAAGACGTTTTCTGTCTCTCGCCATCTTCTGTCCCTTCTTGCATCCCTGCCTCCCTGTGTCCTTCCACCCAGCCACCTGTAGTCTCTACTTTCCTTTGGCCTGGCCCCCGTGGCCCCCATACACAAAAGGTAGCTGCTCCATGCCTTCAGGTCTTGTTCATAGCACGCACTCCTCCATCGTGTGGATGATGGACACTCCTCACAGCCAGCAGCTGGGCGTTTGCTTAGTTTCCCAGATTTTTCTTTTACAAGCAGTGCTGCCTGTGTGCACAGCCCGGCTGCTGGCGCGCGCGGTCTGTGGATGAAGGTGTCAGCTTGACAGTGAGGAAGTGAGGACTAGATGGCTTTACTTCCATCAGCACTGTGTGTAAATGTGCAGGCATGTTTTCAAGGTCGAAGACAAACTTCACAGTAAATTTTGGCAAGGGTGCAGGGATGTGTGCTGAAGAGGGGCTTCTCCAGGCTCCCTGTCTGTCCCCGGAGTCGTCATGTCTCTCATCACGGTTGGCTGGAACCAAAGCTCAGTGCTTTGTCTACCTCGGCACCGCCCTGGGGGCATTTGACCGTGTCTGGAGATACTTGGTTATCAGGATGCAGGACAGTGGAGGCTGGGAGGCTGCCTGGCATCCCGCAACACGCAGCATGGTCCCCACCTCTACCCCCCCACAAAGAATCCCCCGGCCCCAGTGGTCTCCAGTGCCGCGATTGCGAGATCCTGGTCCAGGGGAGTCTTGAATAGCGTCTCCTTTTGGCGGCCTGTCTCCCTGTGCAGCGACCTTCTTGGCACTTGGATTACAAGTACTTCTACATTCCCACAACCTTTCCTCACATCTGAGGCTGAAGCATAAGCTGACACGTGTGTGCCAAGCGACTCGCAGAGCCCCTGCACAGAGTGAGCCAGCAGTGAGGGGCGGGGGCCCTCTTCTCTCTCTGCTACAGAGAGGTAGCAGGCTCTCTGCCTCAACCAGAGGCGCCGAGAGTCAAGTCATGACCTTCTGTGCCAGTCTCACTCCTTCCCCCACCTCTCCAGCTCGATACAGAGCTCCTCCTCCATGCACCCAGTTATCCAGGCCGGACAGCTCGGGGTCCTCCCCAACACCCTCACTCCCTCAGCAGCGTCGTCCAAACCTTCGGTCCCAGATGAGACCAACCGTGGGGTCACTCATCACAGTCTTCTGCTGCCATCGAGCTTCTCCAGGGCAGGGTTGCGTCTGACTCTATCGTCTCTGCTTTTCTGGCATGGCACAGGGCAGAGGCTTTGTCCTGTTTATTGATGGAGCAAATGTCCTGTTTATCGATGTCCTGTTTATCAAAAGGCGTTTAGAACCCGACACCTGACAACCCCCCAGGGTCTCCACTGTCTCACACCCGTGCGTTCTCTGGAAGCCACTCACTCAGCCCCTTGGTTGGGAATGTAACGAGGAGATGGCATTTAAGGAGCCCGGTGACCTTCGAGCGCCTTAAAGGTCATCTCGCCTCTTCTCCACAGCACCTCCTTGCCTTGGCCCGAGGCCGAGCTCCCTTCCTCCCCTGTGCATGATGCGTCAGCCACACACCCTCCCCTCCAATTCTAGACCAGGCCAAGCTGGACCCCACCCTGGAACCTTTGCACCTGCCATCCCGAGGTCTGGAAGGCTCGCCTCGTCATGGTTTTATGCACCTGCTGCTTCTCAAGACCCGAGTCCTCTCCATCCTCTATGAGGCATCCTCACTGCCCCCTCACACACTTGCTCATCATGTCACCTGTTTTCCACACAGCCCTTGCTCCCATCTGGAGGGAAGCGTGTGTTTAATGTGTAGTCTCCACCCCCCTCTTCCGCGTCCTAAGCCCAGCAGGGGCTCCTCATCTCGTATGGTCATGATGACATCCCCAGTACCTAGAAGGTGCCTGGCACAAAGTGAAGGACAGAGGGTGCTCCCTGAATCAATGAGACACTAACAGCCATTTTTATTGTCTTCTAGAATTTTCCATTTGCAGTGTGCAACAGAAAGAAAAAAAAAAAGAAGCAATGTGACTCAAGGCCTGCTGTTTAATCACAGATAAACTTCTAGAACAAGCCCTGGAATGTGCATTCCTGCCACTGGTTTCGGGATACTCATCAGTCCTGATTAGCCTCAGGGAGACCCCCCGTTTCCCTCCAGTGAATGTGAAGTTCCCCGTCTGGGTGGCCTGCCCTTCAGCCAATGTCCTAGCAAAGCTGGATGGGGTTGGGCCGGCCCCCAGGGGGGACCCCTGCTACCCTTGACACCTCTGTGCTTTGGTAATAAATTTTTTACCAGAGCTTAAGGAACCAGTGTGTCTGCAAAAGTTCTTTTGGGGCCCAGGTGTGGTGGCTCATGCCTGTAATTCCAGCACTTTGGGAGGCCAAGACAGGAGGATCACTTGAGCCCACGAGTTTGAGACCAGCCTGGGCAACAGGGTGAAACCCATCTCTACAAAAAATACAAAAACCAGCTAGGCGTGGTGGTGGACTCCTGTCGTCCCAGCTGCTTGGGAGGCTGAAGCAGGAGGATTACTTGAGCCCAGCAAGTCGAGGCTGCAGTAAGCCATGACTGCACCACTGCACTCTAGCCTGGGCAACAGAGTAAGACCCTGTCTCAAAAAAAAGGAAGAAGGAAGAGAGAAGCTAAACCGGCTCCTCTAAATTTTGTCTTGAGTAGCTCAGATCATGCATCATACTTTGGAGTGTGGAGAATCCGAGGTCAGGTAAGGAAGGAAGTGCTCTCAGATGCCCTGACTCTCCTGTACTGATAAACCCTACTCAGGAGAAGCAGGTGGGATCAGGGAACCGCTTACCATCTCCTGGCTGAAGGTGGGTGTGTGCGCCCCTTTCCAGAAGGGAACATCCGCTAACAACAGAAAAACCGGCCCAAACCTGTCCTGCTTAGACCCCTTGTTGCACATGAATCCGTGAACCCCGAAAATGTGAGACAGGTTCAGTTAATTTGGAAACTTTGTTTTGCCAAGGTTGAGGACATGGACCGCGACACAGCCTCAGGAGGTCCTGATGACGTGGCCAAGGTGGTTGGGGCACAGCTTAGTTTTATACATTTTAGGGAGACTTGAGACACGAGTCACTATGTGTAAGAAGTACTTTGGTTCCGTTTGGAAAGGCAGGACAACTTGAAGCAAAGGCAGGAAGACTCGGAGTGGGGAGGGGGCTTCCAGGTCACAGATGGGTGAGAGATGAACAGGTGCGTTCTCTGGCGTTTCTGATTAGCCTTTCCAAACGGAGGTGATCAGACGTGCATCTGTCTCAGTGAGCAGAGGGGTGGCTCTGAATAGAATGGGAGGTGGGTTTGCCCTAAGCTGTTCCCAGCTTGACTTTTATTTATTTTCCTTTCACAAGTCTATAAAAGATTAGGGGCGTCAGTTGCACTTCAGCACCCAAATCAGGTGAGCAGACGGTCAGTGTCACAATATCAACACCGGTCTCCATCCTCTGCCCGCTGGGGCAGTGCCCAGTCCAGTGCCTCAAGGTCCTGGCAGCCCCTGTGTCCTCCTTTCTCATCTCTTCAGCCAGCACAGCCAGCCCAGCCTGACCCTGCTCAGACAATGGAAGGAGCCCAGGTCCAGGCCCAGGGAAGGCCCAGGCAGTGGCCCCACGTCTCTGAGCCCAGGGCCTTCTGTCTCCAGAGCCCAGGTTCTGAACTCTTGTGGGTTTTGGCAGCTCATCCCCCGAGCTCTGAGAGGAGGGCGTTGTCGGGATTAGATGATGATCTCCCAGCACAGGGGACGGGAATGGCTCGGTTGCCACCAGGACATGCAGCTGACGGTGGCTGGAGCCCGTTCTCTGTCCCCCACAGCCACACCCTGCCCCTTGCCCCAGAATGGAACCCTGGCTTAGATTTAATCAGACATTGGTGGTGGTGGTGGTTTTTTGTTTTAATTTTTGAGACAGTCTCGCTCTGTCACTGAGGCTGGAGTGCAGTGGTGCGATCTCGGCTCCCTGCAACCTCCGCCTCCCAGGTTCAAGCGATTCTCGCGCCTCAACCTCCTGAATAGCTGGGGCTACTTTCCACCACGCCCGGCTAATTTTTGTATTTTTGGTAGAAACGGAACAGGTTGAGGCAAGAGAATCGCTTAAACCTGGAAAGTGGAGGTTGCAGTGAGCTGAGATTGCACCATTGCATTGCGTACCAGCCCAGGCGACAGTGCAAGACTCCATCTCAAAAAAAAAAAAAAAAAAAGAATATTATGAAACCACTGTCATATTTGCCGTCCGTTTTTGGCAGAAAGGTCCTTATGTGACCCATGATTGCACACAGTTCAGTGCGGTGGCTCACGCCTGTAATCCCAGCAGTTTGGGAGGCTGAGGAGGGTGGATCACTTGAGGCTAGGAGTTTGAGACCAGCCTGGCCAACATGGTGAAACCCCATCTCTACTAAAAATACAAAAATTAGCCGGACATGGTGGCAGGTGCCTGTAATCCCAGCTACTCAGGAGGCTGAGGCAGGAGAATCGCTTGAACCTAGGAGGCTGCAGTGAGCTGAGATCACGCCACTGCACTCCAGCCTGGGTGACAAAGTGAGACTGTGTCTCAAAAAAAAAAAAAAAGGGGGAACCTGAAGGAGGATCTGGACATAGTTTGGCAGGAGTGGGAGGGAAGGGCGTTTCAGGAGAAGAAACTACATATGCCAAGTGTCAGAGGCACGGAGTCTTTGGCCCGGAGGGTTTGGGGAGATGTTGGGTGACGCAGGGAGAGGAGAGATCAGGAGAGCCCAGCAGAGGAAACAAGGACCATGTAAGGCCTGCAGAGGAAACACGGCCGCTCAGACAGTGGAGGAACTGGATGAGGAGGCATCTGGAAGCCGTCTGGAGTCTGTTTTGGGAGAGATGGAGGCAAGAGATGAGGAAGGTTCAATGACCAGCGAAGAGGTGAGGCCCAGGCATGACTGGGGCCAGGATGGAGAAAAGGGCTCCAAGGTGACCTGTACTTAGGAGGAGGGACAAGAGCTAGTGATTTATGGGATCTAGAGGAGGGAGGGAGGTCAAGGTGGACACCCACACCCGGGTTCTGACATTAGAGATGGGGCTACCACGTCATCAGAGGGATGGGGCTCTCAACAGGAGAAGTGGGCTTGGAAAGGGAGGTGATAAGTCAGTTATGGCCACGTTGAGTGGAGCAATCCTTGGGGCCATCGAGGGGGAGGTGTCCAGCAGGATGTTGGAAGGGAAGAGGCCCACGACACTCACCTGGAGATGAGTCTGTGACAGTGTCTGCAGCCTGCATGCCCAGTGCTGCCCTTGCTGCCTTCCTCCTGCAGGACCTCACTCTGGATGAAGAAACCAGCGCCTGTGAGTGTGGCCGCACTGGGGCTCAGAAGGCAGCAGACTCACCTCACTGTGCCCTGCTAAGGGACTGCAGGGGACTGAGGCAGAGAGAGCAGGCGTGGCCCCCAGGACCTCCCCAATGAGAGCAGGAACCTCCCCAGCCTGGAAATTGGTCCAGAGTTGGGGACTGACAACATTGGCCCGTGTGGAATCATCACGATCAACTCAGCCTCTGCCTGGCCGCAGGCGTCCAAGCACCCCCCAGGATTAAGATCTGGGATTGAGCGGTGTATCCTCTGCCCTCTCCACCCATCCCCTTGGACCCTGGGGCAGGGCTCACCTGAGGAGGATGAGGCAGAGGCAGAGAATCAAGATCTTTGTAGCCATCTCCCCGACAGCCACCAGAACCAGCCCCGTCACGGGCCCTGATTTGCCTGGAAAAGTGGGATGAGGCCCATTCACCTGCTAAACTACAGTCCTGAGTCCTTCCTTTCTTATTGCAACTTCAATCTGGGTTCTCCAGGCCCTTCCTACACCCTTGGCTGTGGGACCTGGAGAGCCCAGGCCTCCCTACCCTACACCCTGACTGTCCAGCAGGAAACGAGAGCTCTGGGTCCCATGGACGTTCTGGGCCTCGAAGCGGAGCCTGAGGTTGGAGCAAAGCTCCCACTTGGAGGCTTGAGGGAGCTGTTGACACAGGGCCTGGCTGAGCTGGGGGTGACCTCGAAGAAGCCCTGGCTGCTGTTCCCCTCCAACAGCTCCCCACCAATCCACCAGCTCAGAGCCGGGGCCGGGCTGGCTTTGGAGGAGCAGCTGCAGTGGAGACCCTCAGCCTCCCAGGAGCAGGAGGGGCCCAGCAGCTGTGGGGGGTGTGTGGGACGGAGGACAGGACTCAGCAGGGGCCCCTTCCTGGGACCCAGGTGCCCCCCTTTCCCCACTCGCAGTGCACGGAGAGGCTGAGAGAGACGTGCTGGGAGCCCAGCGGGTGCTGAGCGTGGCAGGTGAACTCTCCTTCTTGCTCCACTTGAACCCGAGGCAATTCCAGGACCCCGGGGTCTGACGGCTGGGAGAGGCTCAGAATCTGTCCCCCCTGGGTCCAGCTCAGCCTGGCTGGGGGGCTGCTGTGGGTGACACAGACCAGGCGCAGGCTTTGGCCCTCCAGGACCAGGAGGACCGGGAGGGACGTGCCGTTCCCGAGGTTTTCCAGGACTAGGGAAGGAAGGGGCAGAATCCATGTGAAGGTCAGGGCTCCGAGACCCTCCAGATTCCTGAGCCCCCAATTCGGCACCGAGAGGCCCTGGCTCCTCTGTCCCCTTTCCTACCTGTCCTGTTTGCTTGGGAAACCATCACACTCAGGTTCTCCGGAGGATCTGAAATGGAGAGAGGAGACCAGCTCTAGACGGGCCAGGGGCTTCCCCCTGGGTAAAGGGAAGCGTCCTGGAGACTGAGGTGGGGGAAGTGGGTGGGATAGAAGGGCAGTGCAGAATCACCCACTGAGTCCCAGACACAAACTGCATGAGGGTCTACACAGGTAAGGTCAGTCCCCGAGGCCTGGGGCTCCAGATCCCCTCAGCTCTGGCACCCTGAGCCCAGCCCCTGCATCCCCACCTGTTCTGCCCTCCTAGATGGACCCCAGGCCCCTGCTGGGCACACTCACACTGCACAGAGAGGTCCAGGGCTCGCTGCTGGGAGCCAAGCCTGTTCTCCGCTCGGCAGGTGTAGCGCCCTGAATCCCCGGCCTTCACCCCGGACAGCTCCAGTCCCAGGGGTCTGGGGCCCCAGGGGTGGGACAAGGCGAGGACTCTGTCCTGCAGGACCCAGCTCAGCGTGGCGGGGGGCTGGCTGTCAGCAGCACAGAGGAGCCGCAGGAACTGGCCTTTCCGGGCTTCCAGATGTGTGAGATTTTCCTGGGGTTTCAGGGCTGAACCGAGAGAGAGAGAGAGAGAGAGAGAGAGAGAGAGGCTACAAGGAGGAGCATATCCCCTCACCTTCATGAAAATTTTTCATCTCCTAAAGAGGACTGGCCCAGCCCCAGCCCCACGGCCCTCAGTACCTGACGTGTTGTCCCGCAAAATGCTGATAACAAGATCTCTGGGGGCGTCTGCAACAAGATTGTGAGCTGGCTTCAGGGAGGGACAGTTTGTTCCTCACACCTGGAAAAAACTCCCTCCGGGAAAAGAAAGTGGGAACATCCCAGGAAAGACAAGTGACAACCAGAGCCGGGCCTCAAGGGTGTGGACAGAGGACCAGACGCCATTCCCATCCCCCTCCCAGGGCTGAGCCGGCATCCTGGGACCTCACGGCTTCCTCTCCCTGAACGCTCCTGAGCTGGCAGCCGCTCACTGCCCCGCTGGACTCCTCCCCCTCCTCACCCACTGGGTCTGTCTGCACGCCCTACAGTCCCAGGGCACACTCACAGGCCACACGGAGTCGGACGGTCCTCTGTGCGCTCACACCCTTTCTGGAGAAGTCCACATGGCAGGTGAGGTCGGTGTCGTGGTCCTGGGGGCTGGGCGTGAAGCTGAGCACTGAGAAGTGGGAGGTCGTTGGTTTGGTTCCTTGGGAGGAGAGGGCAGTCCCCGTCCAGGAGAAAGAAGGCGCTGGACATTCCTCAAAGGCCCAGTTAAACACACAGATGACTGTCACTGGCTGCCCGGGCTCCAGAGTCTCAGGGATGAAGACATCAGGCTTCTGAGTCAGGGCTGGGACAGAGACGGGGGTCGGGGAGTTCTAATGTTGCAGGGGTCCCTGAGAGCCCTCTCTGTTCAGCCCATAGCCTGTCCCCAGGGTCCCTCCCCAGTGTGAGAGGCAGCGGTTCCCATCCCATTCCATACCTGTTATTTGTAGAAGGAACCAATCTTTCCTGAAATTGTATCTCAGACGACTTCCTCTCTCTACCCGAAAGAAGTACTGTGCCTCATCCTCCCTCTGCGCATCTCTGATCACCAAGGAGCAGCTCCCCTTGCCGGGATCCCCAGTGAGCTGGAATCGGCCCCGGGTGCTCATTTCCACCTCTCGACTCGGGTTGTTTGTGGCCACAGGAGCATCCATATTTATGTCGGTCCCTTCTTTGAACCAGTAGCCATAAGCAGCAGTAGACTCATTCCAGCCACCCCGGGGGTAGGAGAAGTTGCAAGGCACCATGACGCACAGGCCCTCCTGCACCGTCACCAGCCTCTGCACTTGAAGACTGTAACTGGGATCCTTGTTCAGGGACCCTGGGGAGATGCACAGGCTCAGTGGCGGCCCCAGTCCCTGCATGGGACCCCCAGCCGCCGACCCACTCACCTGCCCCCAGCACGGGCAGCAGCAGGGGCAGCAGCAGCATCTCTGGGCTCTGGGGCTGGGCCTGTCCCGGGACCATCTGGCTTCTGGGCCGGCCTGGCGGGGAAGGAAACTCCTCGAGCAGGAAGCCTGGCAGAGGGACAGTGACCATCCGCAGAGGAGGAGCCTCGGGAACTGCAATGTCCTGAAAGATCCTCTCCCAACTTCTCCTTTCACAGGGGAAGCAGCAGGGCAGAGTGCATGAGGACCAGCCCCAAACCAGGAAGGAGCCACCCTGGCCAGCCTCGGGGGTGGGCCGTGCTAGGAGGGGACTGTCAGGGGACACAGGTGAGTCATGGCTGCAGGTGAGGTGATGGATGCAGAGTCCCATTCATTCATTCATTCATTCTCAGGGGGCAGTGGGACACTGGAAAGAGTCTCTAACTTCCGTGATTTATGGTACGAGGCTTTGCACCATGTATTATTGCTGTACCTCCACAGAGAGTAAAAACTGGGTCAACCACACAGGCAGTCAGCCACATCTACCTGACCAACTCCCAGTAAAAACTCTGAACACCGGCCAGGCGTGGTGGCTCACACCTGTCCCAGCATTTTTGGGAAGCTGAGATGGGTGGATCAAGAGGTTGGGAGATTGAGACCATCCTGGCTAACATGGTGAAACCCCATCTCTACTAAAAATACGGCCGGTTGCGGTGGCTCACGTCTGTAATCCCAGCACTTTGGGAGGCCGAGACGGGCGGATCACGAGGTCAGGAGATCGAGACCATCCTGGCTAACACAGTGAAACCCGTCTCTACTAAAAAAATACAAAAACTAGCAAGTGAGTGTCGGGCGCCTGCTTGGTCCCATACCCGGGAGGCTGAGGCAGGAGAATGGCGTGAACCCGGGCGGAGCTTGCAGTGAGCTGAGATGGTACCACTGCACTCCAGCCTGGGTGACAGAGCGAGACTCCGTCTCAAAAGAAAAAAACAAAAACAAACAAAAAACTCTGAACACCGAGGCTCAGGTGAGCTCGCCTGGGTGACAATACTTGAGTGTATGTTGTCATTTCATCCTTGCTGCAAGCATTAGAAGTGTTTTTCTATGTGATTCACTGAGAAAGAACAATTGGAATCCACGCATTGTCTCTTCTGGATCCTGCCCTATGAAACCTTTTGTTGATTTTTATTTATTTTTTTATTTTTGAGACAGAAGTCTCACTCTGTCACCCCAGCTGGGAGTGCAATGTGCAGTCTCAGCTCACTGCAGCCTCCGCCTCCCAGGGTAAGTGCTTCTCCTGCCTCAGCCTCCTAAGTAGCTGGGACTGCAGTACCCGCCACCACGCCTGCCTAATTTTTGTATTTTTAGTAGAGATGGGCTTTCATCATGTTGAGCAGGCTGGTCTCGAACTCCTGACCTCAGGTGATCTGCCTGCCCAGCCTCCCAAAGTGCTGGCATTTACAGGCGTGAGCAATATGTCTAGCAGTGATTTTTTTTTTAAGATGAAGTTTCACTCATTGCCCAGGCTGGAGCACAATGGCATGATCTTGGCTCACTACAACCTCCGCCTCTCAGGTTCAAGCAATTCTCCTGCCTCAGCACCTCCTTAGTAGCTGGGATTACTGGGTCACCTGCCACCACGCCCGGCTAATTTTTGTATTTTTAGTAGAGATGGGGTTCACCATGTTGACCAGGCTGGTCTTGACTTCCTGACCTCAGGTGATCCCACCCGCCTCGGCCTCCTTAAGTGCTGGGATTAACAGGTGTGAGCCACTGTGCCCAGCCTGGTTTCAGTTGATTTTAAAAATTATTTTTATTAATATGTGATATTATTATATTTATGAGGTATATGTGATATTTTGTGCCATGCATATAATATGGTATAATCAAGTCAGGGTATTTGAATATCTATCACTTCAAACATGTATTATTTCTATATGTTGGGAACATTTCAGATCCTCTTTTCTAGCTATTTTGAAAAATACAATATGTTATTTATTTATTTATTTATTTTTAAGACAGGGTCACTCTGAGGCCGGATGCAGTGGCTTACACCTGTAATCCCAGCACTTTGGGGAGGCCAAGGCGGGCGGATCACGAGGTCAGGAGATAGAAGGCCATCCACAGCTATTACGAGTAAAACCCTGTCTCTATTAAAAATACAAAAAAATTAGCCAGGTGTGGTGGTGGAGTCACCCTATAATCCCAGCTACTAGAGAGGCTAGGGGAAAGTAGCGTAGACCTGAGGCCAGGAGCTTGCAGTGAGCTGAGATCCGGCCACTGCACTCCAGCCTGAGTGACAGAGCGAGACTCCGTCTCGAAAAAAAAAAAAAAAAAACAGGGGTTACTCAGTCACGGGCTGGAGTGCAGTGGTGTGATCATGACTCACTGCAGCACAGTCTCCCAAGCTCAAACAATCCTCCAACTTCAGCCCCTCCTGAGCAACTTGGGACTACAGGTGTACACCACCACTTTAATTTTTGTACTTTTTTTTTTTGATAGAGATGGGGTTTGCCATGTTGCTCAGGCTGGCCTCAAACTCCTAGGCTCAAGCAATCTGCCTGTCTCAGCCTCCCAAATTGTTGGGATTACAGGCATGAGCCACCACTACAATATGTTACACAATAACTATAGTCACCCTACTCTGCACAATAAACATAAGAACTACTTCTATCCAACTGTATATTTGTTAGATAGAGCTCTTCATTCCCCACCTACCCACCCATGCCCCCTTCTAGGGCTCTCATAACTATTGTTCTACTCTCTCTGCCTCCATAACATCACCCAGCCCATGATCTCTGTGCCTTTCACATTATCCATAGCTTAGCTCCCACTTAAAAGTGAGAACAGATGGCATTTGATTTTTCATTCCTGAGTTACTTCACTTGGAATAATGGCCTCCAGCTCCGTCAAAGTTGTTGCAAAATACATTATTCATTTTTTCTTATGGCTGAGTAATATTCCATGATAATAGTATACATACCACTGCCTAGACCAATGTCCTGAAGGGTTTTTCCTAGGTTATCTTCCAGAATTTTTTGGTTTTGGAGTCTTAGATTTAAGTCTCTGATCCATATTGAGTTGAATTTTTTTTTTTTTTTTTTTTTGAGACAGAGTCACTCTGTCGCCCAGGCTAGTGCAGTGGCATGACCTCGGCTCACTGAACCTCACCCCACCAGAGTTCAAGCAATTCCCGTGCCTCAGCCTCCTGAGTAGCTGGGACTACAGTGCCGCGCCACCATGTCCGGCTAATTTTTTTGTATTTTTAGTAGATGGGGTTTCACCATGTTGGTCAGGCTGGTCTTTTTTTTTTTTTTTTTTGAGACGGAGTCTCGCTCTGTAGCCGGGCTGGACTGCAGTGGCCGGATCTCAGCTCACTGCAAGCTCCGCCTCCCGGGTTTACGCCATTCTCCTGCCTCAGCCTCCGGAGTAGCTGGGACTATAGGCGCCCGCCACCTCGCCCGGCTAGTTTTTGTATTTTTAGTAGAGACGGGGTTTCACGTGTTAGCCAGGATGGTCTACCGATCTCCTGACCTCGTGATCCGCCCGTCCTCGGCCTCCCAAAGTGCTGGGATTACAGGCTTGAGCCACCGCGCCCAGCCTAATCTTTGTATTTTTAATAGAGACGGGTTTTCACCATGTTGACCAGGCTGGTCTCGAACTCCTGACCTCAAGTGATCTGCCCGCCTCGGCCTCCCAAAGTGCTGGAATTACAGGCGTGGGCCACTGCGTCCGGCCTACTTTAATCATTAGCTGGGCATGGTGGTGCATGGCTGTAATCCCGACCCTTTCGGGAGGCAGAGCTGAGAACTGCTTAAAACTGGGAGGCAGGCCGGGCGCGGTGGCTCACACCTGTAATCCCAGCACTTTGGGAGGCTGAGGCGGGCGGATCACAAGGTCAGGAGATCGAGACCATGGTGAAACCCTGTCTCTACTAAAAGTAGAAAAATTAGCCGGGCGCAGTGGTGGGCGCCTGTAGTCCCAGCTGCTCGGGAGGCTGAGGCAGGAGAATGGCGTGAACCCGGGAGGCGGAGCTTGCAGTGAGCCGAGATTGCGCCACCTGCACTCCAGCCTGGGAGAGAAACCAGACTCCGTCTCAAAAAAAAAAAAAAAAAAAAAAACTGGGAGGCAGAGGTTGCAGATTGCAACCACTGCACTCAGCCTGGGTGACAAAGCAAGACTCAAAAGGAAAAAAAAAAAGAAAAAAAGTACAGTTCATTGACAATAAGTATGTTCACATTCTTGTGCAACCATCAGCTCATCTAGTTGCAGAACTTTCCCATTACTGCAAAAAGAAACCATGTACCCATTAAACTGTCACTTCATTCTTCTCTCCCACCATGCCCCACGCCCCAACAATGACAAATCTACTTCCTGTCTCTACATTTGCCGCTTCTGGACATATCAGGTGAACAGAATCACACAGTATTGTCTGGTTTCTTTCATTTAGTATAATGTTCTCAGGACCATCTGTGTTTGGCAGGTGTCAGAATGTCATTCCTTTTTAGGGGTGAAGAATACTCCATTAAATGGATAAACCACATTTTGTTCATGGAGTTTTAAATTTGCTAGTTAATGTCCAAATCCTCAGCCTTGGGAATCGGGAGGGTGGGCAGTGCGAACTCTCAAGGTGCTGGTCCCTGCCGCGCGAGTCTGCACAACCCAGACCCCCTCTATGCCCAGGTGGGTAATCGGGGCTGGGCTGAGCCACAAACTAATCTGGGCATCAGGGTGGGGAGAGGACAGAGCTGTGACCCTATGATGCAAGGTCCAAGTTCCCCAGTGGGGCTCCATGAACCAATTAGACCTCATTTACAAAGCCACAGATCAAAAGATAAATTATTAAGAATCTCCCAGGGGGCAACCTCAGAGCAGTAAACCCCAAGCCACCAGAGGCCCTCTGAGCTCACTGAGGTCTTATGTCCTGCCCCCAACTCACTGTGGAGCTGGGAGCCTGCTGTAAGCTGCAGAGGCAGCCCCACAACAACGCAGGGGAGCTGAGGTGCCTTTGGGAGCCCAGGGACCCTGAGTTGACGTAAGTGGAGGTGAGGATCCTGTGGGCAGGGATTGGTTGGTCATCTCTTCTTTGCCTCCCCCCACTACATGGAGTAGATTTTGCCTGGAGAATGAATGAATGAATGAATGAATGAATGAATGAATGGGACTCTGCATCCATCACCTCACCTGCAGCCATGACTCACCTGTGTCCCCAGCCAGACCCCTCTGGCGGCCCACCCCGAGGCTGGCCAGGGTGGCTCCTTCCTGGTTTGGGGCTAGTCCTCATGCCCTCTGCCCTGCTGCTTCCCCTGTGAAGGAGAGTCAGGAGAGGATCTTTCTGGACATTGCGGTTCCTGAGGTTCCTCCTCTGCGGATGGTCACTGTCCCTCTGCCAGGGCTTCCTGCTCGAGGAGTTCCTTCCCCGCCAGACGGCCCAGAAGCCAGATGGTCCAGGACAGGCCCAGCCCCAGAGCCAGAGATGCTGCTGCTGCCTGCTGCTGCCCGTGCTGAAGCGAGTGAGTGGGTCAGCGCTGGGAATCCATGCAGGGACTGAGACGCCCGCTAATATGCATCTCCCAGGGTCCTGAACCAAGGATCCCAGTTACAGTCTTCAAGTGCAGAGGCGGGTGACGGTGCAGGAGGGCCTGTGCGTCATGGTGCCTTGCAACTTCTCCTACCCCCGGGATGGCTGGAACGAGTCTACTGCTGCTTATGGCTACTGGTTCAAAGAGGACCAACACAAATACAGGTGCTCCTGTGGCCACACAAACAACCCAGGTCGAGGTGGGAAATGAGCACCGGGGCCGATTCAACTCACTGGGGATCCCGGCAAGGGGAGCTGCTCCTTGGTGATCAGAGACGCGCAGAGGGAGGATGAGGCACAGTACTTCTTTCGGGTGGAGAGAGGAAGTCGTGTGAGATACAATTTCAGGAGGCTTGATTAGTTTCGTTCTAGAAATGTGAGTATGGAGTGGGATGGGAACTGCTGCCTCTCACACTGGGGAGGGACCCTGGGGACAGGCTATGGGCTGAGCACAGAGGGCTCTCAGGGACCCCTGCAGCATTAGAACCCCCCGACCCCTGTCTCTGTCCCAGCCCTGACTCAGAAGCCTGATGTCTTCATCCCTGGGACTCTGGAGCCAGGCAGCCCCGGTGAAAGCGGTCATCTGTGTGTTTAACTGGGCCTCTGAGGAATGTCCAGCGCCTTCTTTCCTCCTGGAATGAGGACTGCCCCTCCACCCAGAAGAACCAGACCAAGCACCACCCACTTCTCAGTGCTCAGCTTCACGCCCAGCCCCAGGACCCGCGACACGACCTCACCTGCCATGTGGACTTCTCCAGAAAGGGTGTGAGCGCACAGAGACAGTCCGACTCGCGTGGCCTGCAGGTGTGGCCTGGGACGCTGGGGCGTGCAGACAGACCCGGTGGGTGGGGAGGTGGAGGAGTCCAGCGGGGCAGTGGAGCGGCTCCCAGCTCAGGAGCGTCCAGGGAGAGGAAGCCGTGGGGTCCCAGGATGCTAGCTCAGCCCTGGAGGATGGGAGATAGCATCTGGTCCTCTGTCCACACCCGTGAGCCTCAGCTCTGGTTATCACTTGTCTTTCCTGGGATGTTCCCACTTTCTTTTCCCGGAGGAAGTTTTCCAGGTGAGGAACAAACTGTCCCTCCCTGTAGCCAGCTCACAATGTTGTTGCAGACGCCCCCAGAGATCTTGTTATCATCATTTCGTGGGACAACCACGTCCAGGTACTGAGGCCGTCGGGCTGGGGTTGGGCCAGTCCTCTTTAAGATGAAAAATTTTCATGAGGTGAGGGATGTGCTCCTCCCTGTAGCCTCTCTCTCTCTCTCTCTCTCTCTCTCTCTCTCTCTCTCTTTCTCTTTCAGTTCCAGCCCTGGGAAACCCCAGGAAAATCTCACATCTAAACCAGAGAAGGCAAGTTCCTGCAGCTCCCTCTGTGCTGCCTGACAGCAACCCCGCCACGCTAGGCCTGGGTCCTGCAGGCAAGTCACCGCCTGTCCCACCCCTGGGAGCCCAGGCCTGGGACTGGGCTGCCGGGGTGAGGCCGAGGATTCGGGGCGCTGCATCTGCCCGGCCCGGAGAACAGGCAGCTCCCAACAGCGAGACCTGGACCTCTCCCCATGCAGTGTGAGTGTGCCCAGCGGGAGCCTGGAGGAGCAGAACAGGTGGAATGCAGGGCTGGGCTCAGGTCCCGAGGCTGAGGGTCTAGAGCCTTGAGTCTCAGGGACTGACATTCTTTTTTTTTTTTTTTGAGACAGAGTCTTGCTCTGTCTCTCGGGCCTGAGTGCAGTGGCATGATCTCGGCTCCTGCAAGCTCCGCCTCCCAGGTTCACGCCATTCTCCTGCCTCAGCCTCCCGAAGTAGCTGGGACTACAGGCGCCCACCACCACCCCCAGCTGATTTTGTGTTTCTAGTAGAGACGGGGTTTCACCATATGTGCCAGATGCGTGCCAGTCTCACAGCCTCATGTGATCCGCCCGCAGCCTCCCAAAGTGCTGGGCATGAGCCAGGCTCGCCTGGCTGGGGACTGATATTCTTACCTGTGTAGACCCTCATGCAGTTTGTGTCTGGGACTCAGTGGGTGATTCTGCACTGCCCTTCTATCGCACCCGCCCCCTCAGTCTCCAGGACCTTCCCACTTTACCCAGGGAAGCCCTAGCCACGTCTAGGCAGTCCCTCTCTCTCCATTTCAGATCCTCAGAGAACCTTACAGAGTGATGGTTTCCCAAGCAAACAGGACAGGTAGGAAAGGGGACAGAGGAGCCAGAGCCCTCTCGGTGCGAATTGGGGGCCCAGGAATCTGGAGGCCATGCAGGAGGGTCCCTGAGCCCTGAGCCCTGGGCTGCGTCGATTCTGCCCCTTCCTTCTAGTCCTGGAAAACCTCGAGGCAGCCACACGTCCCTCCCGGTCCTGGAGGCCAGCCTGCGCCTGGTCTGTGTCACCCACAGCCCCCAGCCAAGGCTGAGGCTGGACCCAGGGGGGACAGATTCTGAGCCCCTCCCAGCCGTCAGACCCGGGATCCTGGGACTGCCTCCAGGTTCAAATGGAGCATGAAGGAGGGTTCACCTGCCACGCTCCCAGCACCATGAGGCTCCCAGCCATCTCTCAGCCTCTCCTGACCTGCTGTAGGTGGGGAAAGGGGGGACATCTGGGTCAGGAAGGGGCCTGCAAATTCTGTCCTCCGTCACAGACCCACGGCTGCTGGGCCTCCTGCTGCTCCTGGGAGGCTGAGGGTCTGCACTGCAGCTACTCCTCCCAAGCCAGCTGACCTGCGTTGGTGGCAGGAGGGGAGCACTGGAGAGGGAACAGCAGCCAGGGCTCCTTCGAGGTCACCCCAGCAGGTTGGGCCCTGGGCCAGCAGCTCCTGAGCCTCCATGGGCTCCCTGACTCTCTGCAGCCTCAAGCTGGCTGTGGGAGCCTGGAACATCCATGGGAGCCCAAGAGTGACTCCGTCTTCCAACTACCGGTAGAGACTGTTAGAGTCTGAGACACACAGGATCCTAGGAAGATGAAGGTTTGGGGTTGTGGGAGGAGGGGCTGGGCGTGGTGGGAAGTGATGGGGACAAAGTCCCTGCTCTGTAGCCACAGGCAGTGTTAGGAAACTGAGGCGGACTGGGGCCATGTAAGAACAGGGAGGATTGTTTATTTAAAGGTAAGTACACAGCTTAGTGGACTTACATTTCAAAGCTAATGAGCATTAAATAAGAATAGCAGATTTGTAAGTAGACTTTAAAGTAGAACAAAGCAGGTCAATTACATAGTGCATAACTTGTGACCTTGTAGCTGTGTCAAAAGAAAAACAAGAACTGGTTAAATACAGCATTTGTAAGACATAATTATGCTTAAGAAGCCAGGAGGCGTGCTGGTGGCTCAAGCCTGTAATCCCAGCACTTTGGGAGGCCGAGAAGGGGTGGATCCGGTCAAAGAGATCGAGACCATCCTGGCTAACCAGGTGAAACCCACACGTCTCTACTAAGAAATACAAAAAAAACTAGCCGAATTGAGGTGGCGGGCGCCTGTAGTGCGCAGCTACTCGGGAGGCTGAGACTGGAGAATGGCGTGAACCCGGGAGCGAGGCTTGCAGTGAGCGGAATCTCGCCCTGCACTCCAGCCCGGGCGACAGAGCAAGACTCCCGATCTCAAAAAAAAAAAAAAAGCCAGAAAGGAGTAACAGTAAAATAATTTGTCTTTTTTTTTTTTTTTTTGAGGCAGATCTCTCTCTGCCCAGCTCAATGCCGGATCTCAGCTCTGCCGGCTCCGCCTCCTGGGTTCACGCCATTCTCCTGCCTCAGCCTTCCAGGTAGCTAGGACTACAAACAGCACACACCAACTATTTTTGTGTGTGTATATATATATATATATATTTTTTTTTATTTTTAATAGAGCGGTTTCTGCATATTTAGCTAGGATAATCTCGTCATCAGAAACCTGTGATCTCCTCAGCCTCCCATCTCTGAATCGATCTCGTGCAAGTACCCATTCCCTAACTAACTTTCTTTTTTTTTTTTTTTGAGGCAGTCTCGCTCTATCGCCCAGGTTGATGCAGTGGCGCAATCTCGCTCACTGCAAGCTCCGCCCTCGCGAGTTCACGCCATTCTACTGCCTCAGCCTCCCAGTAGCTGAGGACTACAGGTGCCCCTCCTCGCCCGGCTAATTTTTCATTTTTAGTAGAGAGACGGGGTTTCACCATGGTCTCGATCTCCTGACCTCGTGATCCACTTTCCTGGCCTCCCAAAGTGCTGGGATCACAGATGTGGCTTTCCATGAGCCACAGCCCTACAACTTTTAACAGCAGTAGGAGTGAGCAAAGGAGTCCACAATGCGAGCCATCCCATAGGTCCTAGAAGAGATTAATTTACTTCTGACTTAAACAAGAGAGACAAGATTACAGTATGGGGCCCATCCCCCATGGGTCCTAGAGAAGTTGAATTTTACTTCTTAACTTAAACAGAGTTTCTAGGTTTAAAGGCGTGTCAGGCTTATAGGCATTCTTTCATGTACCTAACTACGCACACTTTGCATGGCTATTTTTAAAGCCTGCATTTGCTTTTTTAAGGTTAATTCCTTTAGTTCCTGGAGATCACCTTTTTTTTTTCTTCTGAGATGGAGTTTTGCTCTTGTCACCCAGGCTGGAGTGCAGTGGTACCATCTCGGCTCACCACAACCTCCTGCTCCCAGGTTCAAGCGATTCTCCTGCCTCAGCCTCCCAAGTAGCTGGTATTACAGGCGTGCGCCACCATGCCCAGCTAATTTTGTATTTTTAGTAGAGACAGGGTTTCTCCATGTTGGTCAGGCTGGTCTTGAACTCCCAACCTCAGGTGATCCGCCCACCTCGGCCTCCCAAAGTGCTGGGATTACAGGTGTGAGCCACTGTGCCCGGCTGGAGATCACCTTTAATTTGACTTATGATTTGGGGTGCCATTGCACCCTGTCGGCCACCCAAGCGAACAAAATCTCATAGGGCGAATACCCAGTTTGTTTGGTGGGGGTGCACCTGACTTGGAGGAGGACCATAGGCAAGACCTGATTCTATCTCAGATGAGTTTCCTGGCAATATTTCTTCAGTAGACACTTGAGTATCTGATTCATGTGTTCCACGTTTTTGAACTTTGCGGCCGATAGGCTGTGTGCAACTTCTATTTTATTTTTAACAGTCTTGTTAAATCTTGCACTATTTTAGCTACACATGCCGGCGCATTGTTTGACTTTAAAGTTAGAGGCAGTCCAAACCTGGGGATAATGTGTTTTAACAGCACTTTAGTTACTTTTTGTGCTTTTTCTGTTCTGGTGGGGAAAACTTCAACCTATCCTGAAAAGTTATAAATAAACGCTAGCATGTACCCATAGTCTCCAGCACAGGGCATTTTGGTAAAGTTTATAAGCAAGCTTTTTTTTTTTTTTTTTTGAGACGGAGTCTCGCTCTGTCGCCCAGGCTGGAGTGCGGTGGGGTGATCTCGGTTCACTGCAAGCTCCACCTCGCAGGTTCACGCCATTCTCCTGCTTCAGCCTCCAGAGTACCTGGGACTACAGGTGCCCTCCACCACGCCTGGCTAATTTTTTGTATTTTTTTTTTCTTTTTTTTTTTCTTTTTTTGAGACGGAGTCTCGCTCTGTCGCCCAGGCTGGAGTGCAGTGGCCGGATCTCAGCTCACTGCAAGCTCTGCCTCCTGAGTTTACGCCATTCTCCTGCCTCAGCCTCCCGAGTAGCTGGGACTACAGGCGCCCGCCACCACGCCCTGCTTTTTTTGTATTTTTTAGTAGAGATGAGGTTTCACCGTGTTAGCCAGGATGGTCTCGATCTCCTGACCTCGTGATCCAGCCGTCTCAGCCTCCCAAAGTGCTGGGATTACAGGCCTGAGCCACCTCGCCTGGCCAATTTTTTGTATTTTTAGTAGAGATGGAGTTTCACTGTGTTAGCCAGGATGGTCTCAATCTCCTGACCCCATGATCTGCCCACATCAGCCTCCCAAAGTGCTGGGATTACAGGTGCGAGCCGCCGTGCCCAGCCTGCTAATTTTTCTTTTTATGAGGGCTGCTGCCAACCGACTGGCCTTTTTTGTCAGCCTATGTTCTGCTTCCTTTTTCCTTCCTGAGTTCTCCTGCTCCTACAGCTGGCCAGTGGGGCTGGGCAACGGCATGGGCCCCGGCCCTGTGCACGCATTGCCATCCGTCTTTCCTCTTTCTGATTTTTCTTTTATCCTTTTTTTTTTTTTTTTTTTTGAGATGGAGTCTCGCTCTGTCACCCAGGCTGGAGTGCAGTGGCGCGATCTCAGCTCACTGCAAGCTCCGCCTCCCGGATTCACACCATTCTCCTGCCTCAGCCTCCTGAGCAGCTTGGACTACAGGCACCCGCCACCACATCTGGCTAATTTTTTTGTATTTTTAGTAGAGACGGGGTTTCACCAAGTTAGCCAGGATGGTTTTTTTTCATTTTCACACTTACTTTTTGGGGCCAGGTAGGATCTGAACAGCTGTAGTCCACTCCTGGGGCGTTATCAGCCCAGAGGCTTGGTAGGTGCCTGCCGCAAGTTGTAAGAATTATGCCAGTCCCTGCCCCCCTCTTTTTCTAGATAGAGCGGGGCTGGGGAGAGGGACTTAACCCTTGGTGTGCCTAGCTGCTTGGCGCCTCGCTTGTTGCTTTTGCTCTTTCCCGGTTTGTTCCCTGGTCACGGTTAACGTACATCTTGGTGGTCACTTTTATAAGCTGGGTGGCATTCATGCCTGCAGCTTCCGCTTGATGTCACCCCGGGCTTGCCCTACAAAGGCTATGCTTACTGTAAAGGTAAACCGAGGCTGCAGCCAAACCAGGAATGAAGACACAAGGCGAATGGCAGTGAGAATAGCCTTTACTAGGACTCGCGGGCGAGGTTCCTCGGTCCAAAGGTGCTGGCTGAGGAAGTCGTGCTGAGGGAGAAGGGTAGGGGCTTCTTATAGCCTGAGAGGTAGGGAAGCTGGTTGTACAAACAGGGCCTGGGGTGTCTTGAAACTACTAGGGCAGGAGTCAAGTGAGGGTCATGAGGAAGGGGTCTTTGGAAACTGTCAACCGGAACTGCTTTTTAGGAACTTGTGGAATGCAGGTGAGCTGTAGGTCATGGGGGAGTGTGGTTGCCCAGTCGGAACCTCTGATGTATGCAAGTCTGCGGGTGTGTTCCAAGAGGAAGGGAAGTCTTGAACAAAGGGCCTGCTACGCCGGGTGGCACCGCCATGTCAGGTCTAGATCCCTGCCTAACGCTTACCATGCGCTGATTTTCAGCAGCCTCAGGGTCAAATGGGGTGTAAAGCCGGAATGCTTCACGAAGTTTTTTATAAAACTGACTTGGGCTGTCATCAGCTCTCTGAAGCACTTTTGAAATTTTTCTTCTATTAATTGCTTTCTTTCCACCAGCTTTCACGCCTTGCAGAAGTGCCTCTCGGTACCTTTGCAAACGCTGAAGCTGAGTTGCATCCCCTGGGTCCTAGTCAGGATCTGGGTCTGAGAACTGACCTTGAGTGCATGCCTGAGCACGCCCTGCCTCTGCTGGTACGTGGGGTTTTAGCCAGCGGAGAGCTGCCTATGTTACTCTCTTGCACTTTTTAGTGTTAAATCACATTAGGAAAAGCTGCTTGCAATCTGGCCAGGGTGGATTGTGTGTCAGAAAGATGGACTGCATCAGATCTGTAAGGGCTTGGGGCTTCTCTGTGTAGGAGGGAGTATGAGTTTTCCAGTTTAGTAGATCAGTAGTCGAAAAGGGCTGATGGATGAAGGTCCATTTGCCCCCTGAACCTGGCCTTGGTTATTATAATAAATGGGTCCTCACATCTCCCTGACAGGCATTTGCATAGCTCAAGCACGGCCAGATCTGAGACAGCCTGCTTGAATATTTTGACTTCCTTCCCTGGCCTTTTGAGGCTCCGATCCTTCCCTTCAGGGTGAGACTTGGGGCGTGCTAGCTCCTGAATTTGGTTCCTGGAGGGCTGTTGGCCTCAGTAAAGGTGGGTAGGCTGGGACATATATGGAGGAGGAATCTCTGTTTCCTCTGGCAGCTGTTGCAAAACTGGCTTCTGTTGCTCTTTCTGGGATTTTTCTTTTAACTTCCTCTCAGTCGGCGAAGCTGCTCTTACTTTTACTTTTGGCTCAGGCTACAAGTGTTTTGTGATAAGCTGCTAAACAGGGCTGGATCCAGGTTGGTCTTGTCTGTCCTAGATGTAACTATGAATCAATATAAGGAAACTGATAAGGATACTCAGGCTGTCACCATCTTAGATACATAGCCAATTGTTTTCTAGCCTACAGTTTCTTCGGTCAGCCATCCAACATCAAAGGAAAGTCATTCTAATTCACAGAGAGTTCTCAACCTCTGGGGGATTCGCTTAACTTTATAATCCCCCGAAAAACCTTTCTTAAAGTTTTGTGACATGCGCTTCAATGGAGTAAGTTTTGATGACTTTCCTTCTATTCCTTTCTTCACGGCGCAGCGCACTCACTTGCTCTTCCTCTCATTTCTGCCAACTATACCGTCTCCTATTATGGGAGTTTTTAGACACTACTTGACTTTGGAGAGTTCCTTATTCCTGCTAAGACTCTGAGCTGTAGGGCAGCTCTGGTTAGCCGTATGCAGATCGCCACTAGGGCAGCTCCGGTTAGCCGTACATGCGCTGAAATGATAAGTTTGATGACTTCCTTCATTCCTTCTCCATGGCGCAGTGCACTCACTTGCTCTTCCTCTCATTTCAAGTAAATCTATACTGTCTCCTATTATGGGAGTTTTTAGACACTACTGACTTGGAGAGTCTCTATTCCCCATAAGACTTGAGCTGTAGGGAACAGCCTACAGCTGCATGCAGATCGCCACTAGGGCAGCCCAAGAAGGGTTAGCCGTATGCAGATCGCCACTAGGGCAGCTCCGGTTAGCCGTATGCAGATCGCCACTAGTCGTAGTTGGCCCCACACTTTGCTCGGAGCACCGCGTCCATACTAAGAGATTTGTGACCTCTCACTTTGTGACTGATGAGCCTAATTAGGTCTCTACATTTACACACTTTTACACACTTCCCCACTCGCAGTTCCTATGGTCCTAATTGGGGTGGCAAGCCACTCTTGCCACCTCCAGTTTCTTAGTTGGGGTGGCTCGCCACCTCCTGTTTCCTTTTCCTAATCGACTTAGCGAGCCATTCTCGTGTCCTGTATTGGTTGGGGTGTGAGTTTCATCCAAATCGACAAGCCACTCTTCGCCGCCCCCAGCCCCTCTGGATTGGACTACTAGGCACACCCCAGGAAGTGATCAGGCTCCCCTTCCGTCCCTACGGGATGGGTCTCCTGCCTTGGGCCCCAAATTACTGCGGTTCCTGAAGTGCACTGTTTCTGAAATCGTTCTGTAGCTCCTTTCAGGTTTTGTTGTGCTGCTAGGTAAGGGCGCCGGGTCAGGGGAGAGCTGATTTCTTCTCCAGCCTAACATTCTTCCGGTGGCACCTGGGGTCACAGGTCTCCCGAGGCCTGGGGCTCCAGGCCCCAGAGGCAAAGGAGGCAGTAAACCTGCCGTCTCTGGTCCCTTCGTGGTCGCCAAAAATGCTGCGGGAAACTGAGGACTGGAGAGACCGATACAGAGAACAGGAGGATTGTTTATCTTAGGTGCACACCAGCTCAGTAGATTTGCATCTAAAAAGCTGAGCATTAAACACACACAGAGCAGGGTTTTTATGAGCAGACTTACGAAAGTAAAACAGAGGCAGTTAATTATATGATAGGTCACATGATTTATAGTATAGCACAACTTGTGGCTTTGCATAGCTGGTGGCCTTGTAGCTGTGTCAAAAAAAAAAAAAAAAAAAAGAACTGGCCAAATACAGACTTTTTTTTTTTTTTTTTTGAGGCGGAGTCTCGCTTTGTCGCCCAGGCTGGAGTGCAGTGGCACGATCTCGGCTCACTGCAAGCTCCGCCTCCCGGGTTCACGCCATTCTCCTGCCTCAGTCTCCCAAGTAGCTGGGACTACAGGCGCCCTCCACCACGCCCGGCTAATTTTTTTGTATTTTTAGTAGAGATGGGGTTTCACCGTGTTAGCCAGGATGGTCTCGATCTCCTAACCTCGTGATCCACCCACCTCGGCCTCCCAAAGTGCTGGGATTACAGGCTTGAAAATACAGACATTTGTAAAACATAGTTATGCTTAAGAAGCCAGGGAAAGGAGTAGCAGAAAGGAATTTGTTTTTCTTTTTTTCCTTCAACTTTGCTCTGGAAGGGGGTGTGTCTGGAGCCTATTCCTTTGGCCTTGGCTTTTTAAACAGTATTATCTCATAACTGTCCTTGAAGTGAGCTTGCTAAGCAGAGGAAAACTTGTTCCTTTTTTAATTTAACCCTTGCCTTGCCTGTTAATTTTCTTGGAGTGAATGAATGCGTATTTATTTTTAAATTTCTGCCTCAGTGGGGGATGAAGAATCTGAGAGCTCTAGGTCTGTGGGAGGAAGGGGCAGGAGGGTCTCAGGGCTAGGAGAACACCACCCCAAACCCTGCTCCCATGCAGGGAAGCTGCAGCGTGGGGGAGGAGTTGGCCTGGGGGCTGCCCTGGGAGCTGGTGTCACTGCCCTGCTCGCTCTCTGTTCCTGCCTCGTCATCTTCAGGTAAGTGTCATCCCCGGGAGGGCAGGCAATGCAGAGTGTGGGAAGGGAGAGGGTTCTAGAATCCCAGACAGTCCCAGCCGCAGGAATCTAGATGGGGCAGTGGGTGTAAGAACCGGGCCTTGGGCAAGAGAATCAGAGCAGGGGTCTGCTCCAGAGCCCCGATCCAGGCCATCTATGAGGGTCCCCAGTTCTCACTGTGGAAGTCACCCCATGGATATGTCCCCACCCCACTGGCCATCATGGCCTTCCAGCCTCTGCTAAGCCATGTAGGGAGCAGTCGCCCCAGGCTCTGGGCCAGCCTGAAGACTGAAGGGCAGTGCTTCTTCCCTCAGGATAAAGACCTGCAGGAAGGAAGCTCGCAAGAGGGCAGCAGCGGAGCAGGACGTGCCCTCCACCCTGGGGCCCGTCTCCCAGGTGAGAGCCCAGTCTCTGTCTGCTGGGGCCCCAGCTCTTCCCCTTTCCTGGATGGCCATGGGCACTCCTCTTGGTGCCTTGCAGAATCATTATGCCCCAAATAAGATTTTGCTTCTGGGTCCCCATCAATGCAGTCCCAAGTCTCATGATCTGGGGGGCACCCTCCCCCTTGCTCCCCATGTCCCCTCCCAGAGCCAAGGCCTCCCCGGGCCTGTCCATACTCTGCCTGTGCTCGAGTAGATCTTTGTGTTTGAGTAGATCTTCCGAGGTCCCTGAGGTCAGTCCAGGTCTGAGCAAATCCCCGTCTTTCTCACACCTCCTCCTTCCTGGGCATCCATTCATAATTTGCAATTAGATAGTAACTTGATAGACTAGAGCTTTAATGTCTGCTTCTCCTTCCACACTGCAAGCTGCCTGAGGTCAGGGATGGTGTCTCCCTAGTTCCCCCGGGAATATCCAGGGGCTGGCACAGGGGAGCTGTTCCATAAGGGCAGCGGGCGCTGGAGTCAGAGACACCTGGATGTGAATCCTGGCCTGACCACTGCTTAGATGTGTGGGTTTGGGGTATTTACTCAGCCTCCATTTCTCCATCTGATCATGGAGACCACAGTGCCTCCCCAGTGGATTGTGGTGAGGATTTTGTGAGTCTGGATTTTATGAGCCTGGCAGTGAATTACCAGGAGCCAGATGTTATTGTTCTCAAATACTTGCTGAATGAGTGAATGGATGAGGGCCCAGCCAGCGTCTGTGGAATGAGTAGGTGAAACAGGAAATGCTCAGCTTCCAGGTCCTCTTGTGCATCCTCCTTGCTCTCGCTTAGCCCCCATGATCCTAATTTGACCCCCTTTCTCCCCTGCATTCAGGGTCAGCAGCATGAATGCTCAGCAGGCAGCTCCCAAGACCACCTGCCCCCAGGTGCAGCCACCCCCACCCCAGGGCAGGGGGAAGAGCAGGAGGTCTACTACGCCTCCCTCAGCTTCCAGGGGCTGAGGCTTCGGGAGCCTGAGGACCAGGAGGCCCCCAGCAGCACTGAGTACTCAGAGATCAAGATCCACAAGGGACAGCCCCCGAGGGGCCTGGGCTTTGGGCTTCAGTTCGAGAAGGAGACGTCAGGGATGGTTCCAAAGTGAAGAGTTCTCCATGGAAACAGGACACCAACAAGTGCGTGGGAGTCATGTTGGTGTGACGGCCAGAACTGGACTCAGATTTCAGCCCCATCCCCAGTGAAGAGCTTGAGTTTGAAGATTAGACTCTTTTTTGAGACAGGTTCTCACTCTGTCCCCCAGGCTGGAGTGCAGTGGTGCAAGCTCAGCTCACTGTAGTCTCAACCTGCCAGACTGAAGTGATCCTCCTATTTCAGCCTCCGGAGTACCTGGGACTACAATTGTGAGCCATCACGCCAGGCTCATTTTTGTATTTTTAGTAGAGACAGGGTTTTGCTGTGTTTCCCAGGTTGGTCTTGAACTCCTGGGCTCAAGCAATCTGCCTGCCTCTGCCTACCAAAGTGCTGGGATTACAGACGTGAGCCACCATACCTGGCTGAAGATTATACTTTCAATTCACAGCGAGTTTGAAGATGACACTTTGAGGCATCGTGTCTATGGTTCATTACTACAGAAGCTTCTCTGGATGTGTAAAGCACAGTAAACCAGGCAGAGGAGACACAGAGCGCTCTCCAGAACGAGGAGCCAGCTCCTGGGGTTGCTTTGCTGCAACCATCATTCCCCATTGATAACCATTCTCCTCCTTCAGAAGAGGGAGAGTGAGAGAACCAAGTCCGAGTGGTTCCCATTTTAACATTAAAAAAAAAAAAAAAGAAGAAGAAGAAGGCTGTGCGTGGTGGTTCACACCTGTAATCTCAGCACTTTGGGAGGCTGAGGTGGGTGGATCACAAGGTCAGGAGTTCAAGACCAGCCTGGGCAAGACGGTGAAACCCCGTCTCTACTAAAAACACAAAAATTATCCGGACATGGTGGCGGGCACCTGTAATCCCAGTTACTGACGAGACTAGGCAGATAATTGGTTGAACCCGGGAGGCAGAGGTTGCAGTGAGCTGAGATCATCCCACTGCGCTCCAGCCTGGGTGACAGAGTGAGACTCTGTGTCTAAATAAATAAATAAATAAATAGAGCCTGAGTTTGGGCAAGTCATCTTACTCCTCAGTAAAACGGACACAATAAACCTAAATCACAGGGCTATTGTGGGACAGAAAGGAAGTCATTAAAACAAGGCACCCAGGCCAGGCACGGTCGCTCACATCTGTAATCCCAGTACTTTGGGAGGCTGAGGCGGGCAGACCACATGAGGTCAGGAGTTCAAGACCAGCCTGGCCAACCTGGTGAAACCCCATCTCTACCAAAAACACAAAAATTAGCCAGATGTGGTGGGGTACACCTGCAGACCCAGTGACTCAGGAGGCTGAGGCACGAGAATCATTTGAACTCAGGAGGCAGAGGTTGCAGTGAGCCGAGATTGCACCACTGCACTCCAGCTTGGGCAACGGAGTGAGGCTCTGTCTCAAAAATAAATAAGGCCAGGCATGGTAGCTCACGCCTGTAATTCCAGCACTTTGGGAGGCCAAGGCAGGCCTCATGCCTGTAATCATGCTGTGTCTACTAAAAATTCAAAAATTAGCAGGGCATGGTGGTGGATGTCTCTTATCCCAGCTACTAGGAGACTGAGCCAGGAGAATTACTTAAACCCGGGCGGCAGAGGTAGCAGTGAGCTGAGATCACGCCATTGCACTCAGCCTGGATGCCAAAAGCAAAACTCGGTCTCAAAACAAAAAAGAAAGAAAAGAAAAGAAAAGAAACAAGAACTCACTATGTTGCCCAGTCTGGTCTCAAAGTCCTGGCCTCAAGCAATCCTCCCACCTCAGCCTCCAAAAGTGCTAAGATTACAGGCGTGAGCCACCATGTTGGGCTGACTTGATCTTGTAATTCCAAGTTTCTACCCTTTTACTGACATCTGTCCATTTTTCTCTCCTCCTAACCCCCAGCAACCACGGTTCTAATTCTACTTTGTTTCCATGAGTTTTGTGGCAGGAGAATAGGGGATTAGGGGAACGGGAGCTCAGCAGGTGGAGCCAGTTCCTACAGACAGGAGAGCACAGGTGTGGCGCACAGGCCACATTCTCGCTCCCATGATAACAAGCCACATCAGTCTCTGATTGACTGCAGTACGGGTCTCCACTATGGCCCCTGATTGGTCGTGAGCTAATCCTTCATAGCAGGTAACCAATTGGAGGCCTCTGAAGGGCGCCTAGGGGTGTTGCCAGGTTCCTTCTAGCTTATTACAAACCCTAATTGGGGAGCCTCTTGAGCTGCTGGCTCGATCCCGCTCCCACTCTGAACTGTCTTCAATAAATCTGTGCTTTTCTATTCACAATAGCAAAGACATGGAATCAACCCAAATGCCCATCAATGATAGACTGGATAAAGAAAATGTGGTGTATATACACCATGGAATACTATGCAGCCATAAAAAAAGGATGAGATCATGTCCTTTGCAGGGACATGGATGGAGCTGGAAGCCATTATCCTCAGCAAACTAACACAGGAACAGAAAACCAACACTGAACGTTCTCACTTCTAAGAAGGAGCTGAACAATGAAAACACATGGACACAGGGAGGAGAGCCACACACACTAGGGCCTGTCAAGGGGCCGGGGAAGGGACGGCATCAGGAAAAACAGCTAATGCATACTGGGCTTAATACCTAGGTGATGGGCTGATAGGTGCAGCGAACCACCATGGCACACGTTTACCTATGTAACAAACCTGCACATCCTGCACATGTACTCCAGAACTGTAGGGAAAAGAGAGATCAGACTGTTACTGTGTCTATGTCTTCCCTTTCTACATAGACACAGTAACAGTCTGATCTCTTTTTTCCCTACAGAAAGGAACTCTATTTTGACCTGTACGCTGAACAATTGCTTTGCCCTGAGATGCTGTAATCTGTAACTTTGCCCCAACCTTGAGCTTACAGAAACATGTGTTGTGTGGAATCAAAGTTTAAGAGATCTAGGGCTGTGCAGGATGTGCCTTGTTAAGAAAATGTTTACAGGCAGTATGCTTGGTAAAAGTCATCGCCATTCTCTGGTCTCGATAAACCAGGGGCACAATGCACTGCAGAGAGCCGCAGGGACCTCTGCCCTGGAAAGCCGGGTATTGTCCAAGGTTTCTCCCCATGTGATAGTCTGAGATATGTCCTCATGGGATGGGAAAGACCTGACCATCCCCCAGCCTGACACCCGTGAAGGGTCTGTGCTGAGGAGGATTAGTAAAAGAGGAAGGCCTCTTGCGGTCAAGATAGAGGAAGGCCACCGTCTCCTGCCTGCCCCTGGGAACTGAAATGTCTCGGTATAAAACCCGATTGTACATTTGTTCAGTTCTGGGATAGGAGAAAAGCCGCCCTGTGGCGGGACGCGAGACGTGTTGGCAGCAATGCTGCCTTGTTATTCTTTACTCCACTGTGATGCTTGGGCGGAGAGAAACATAGATCTGGCCTGCGTGCACATCCACGCATAGTACTTCCCCTTGAACTTAACTGTGACACAGATTCCTTTGCTCACATGTTTTCTTGCTGACCTTCTCCCTATTATCACCCTGCTCTCCTACCGTATCCCTTTTGCTGAGATAGTGAAAATAGTAATCAATAAATACTGAGGGAACTCTGAGACCAGTGCCGGTGCAGGTCCTCTGTATGCTAAGCTCTGGTTCCCTGGGCACACTTTTCTTTCTCTATACGTTGTCTCTGTCTTATTTATTTTCTCAGTCTCTCCTCCCACCTGACGAGAAACACCCACAGGTGTGGAGGGGCTGGCCACCCCTTCACCCCAGAACTTAAAAAAATCTGTGCTTTCCTTTAGGAGGCAGAGGCGGGCAGATCACTTGAGGTCAGGAGTTCGAGACCATCCTGGCTAACACGGTGAAACCCCATCTCTACTAAAAACACAAAAACTAGCCGGGCGAGGTGGCGGGCGCCTGTAGTCCCAGCTACTCGGGAGGCTGAGGCAGGAGAATGGCGTGAACCCGGGAGGCGGAGCTTGCAGTGAGCTGAGATCCGGCCACTGCACTCCAGCCTGGGCGACAGAGTGAGACTCCGTCTCAAAAAAAAAAAAAAAAAAAATCTGTGCTTTTGTTACTCCATTCTTCTGTTGCTTTGTCCCTCCTTTCATTTTCTTTTGTTACTTGATTTGTGCATTTTGTTCAATTCTTTGTTCAACATGCCAAGAACCTGGACAACTCTCCAGTGACAGTTTGACTTCTGTGGATTCCACATGTCTGTGAGATCGCACGGTATTTGTCTACCTCTGATTTCGGGTTAATTTCTGTTGTTGCAAATGGCAGGATTTCTTTTTCGTAAGGATGAGTAGTATTCAGCTGTATTATGCATGTTTTGTGTGTCTGCGTATATACAGGTGACCCTTGAACCGCACAAGTTTACACTGGGGTATACACAGATTTTCTTCCTCTTCTGCCACCCGATACAGCAAAATGAATCTCTCCTCTTCCTCTTTCTCCTCAGCCTACTCAACGGGAAAACAATGAGGATAAAGGTTTTTTTTTTTGAGACAGAATCTCGCTCTGTCACCCAGGCTGGAGTGCAGTGGCGGGATCTCGGCTCACTGCAAGCTCCACCTCCCAGGTTCACGCCATTCTCCTGCCTCAGCCTCCCCAGTAGCTGGGACTACAGGTGCCCGCCAGCACGCCCGGCTAATTTTTTTGTATTTTTAATACAGACGGGGTTTCACCGTGTTAGCCAGGATGGTCTCAATCTCCTGACCTCGTGATGCCCCCACCTCGGCCTCCCAAAGTGCTGGGATTACAGGCACCGAGCCACCGCGCCCGGCCTCTTTGTTTTTTTTTGTTTTTTGTTTTTTGTTTTTTTTTTTTGAGACGGAGTCTGGCTCTGTAGCCCAGGCTGGAGTGCAGTGGCCGGATCTCAGCTCACTGCAAGCTCTGCCTCCCAGGTCCACGCCATTCTCCTGCCTCAGCCTCCCGAGTAGCTGGGACTACAGGCGCCTGCTAGTATTTTTTTGTATTTTTTAGTAGAGACGGTGTTTCACCGTGTTAGCCAGGATGGTCTCGATCTCCTGACCTGGTGATCCGCCCGTCTCGGCCTCCCAAAGTGCTGGGATTACAGGCTTGAGCCACCGTGCCCGGCCCCCTCTTTGTTTTATGAGACAGAGTCTCACTCTGTCACCCAGGCTGGAGAGCAGTGGCACAATCTCAGCTCACTGCAACCTCCGCCTCCTGGGTTCAAGTGATTCTCCTGCCTCAGCCTCCTAAGTAGCTGGAATTACAGGCGCCCACCACCACACCCGGCTAATTTTTGTATTTGTAGTAAAGACAGGGTTTCACTGTGGTGGCCAGGCTGGTGTTAACTCCTGACCTTAGATGATCCGCCCACCTCGGCCTCCCAGAGTGCTGGGATTACAGGCATTAGCCACAGCGCCCAGACATGGATACTTTGTTAAGAAATGGGGCCTCCTATGTTGCCCAGGCTGGTCTCAAACTCTTGGGGATGAGCAATCCTCCTCCCTCGGCCTCCCAAAGTGCTGGTATTACAGGTATGAGCCACCTAACCCAGCAGCATTTTTTTTTTATTACTAATTCAATCTCATTACTTGTTATTGGTCTGTACAGACTTCCTGTTTCTTCCTGATTCAATCTTGTTAGGTTGTATGTGTTCAGGAATTTACCCATTTCCCCTAAGTTTTCCACTTTGTTATGGTACAGTTACTCAGAACAGTCTCTGATGATGTTTTGCATTTCTGTG